TGTGTTAAATGGTCTGCAACCACCATGAAGAAAAACACCTCATGCTTTCTTTTCAGTGGTCCACCTTGTCAGAATATCCATCTCACTAAATTACAGAACTATCTGACTCATCGGAACAAAAACAACAAGCTGTCCTCTGGAGAGCAAATTGAAAAAAAGCAATTTTCCCCTCTCTGAGAAAGATAATTCATCTGATTTTGCTGTCAGTGTTACCATCGTTCACTCTCTCACCCAGAGTTGAAAACCTGAAATTATTTTTTTACTCTCCCCACCTTTCATCACCCATCCAGAGTTACCAGGTTATAATGACTTTCCTTTAATAATGTTTCTAATATCAAACGTTATTAAATGTTTAATTGGTACATGCCCTGGTACCATGCAAGTTCAAGTCTCCATTATCTCCCAGATCTGGATGACTGTAATATTCTTTCTCTTTGTTAATGACTTATACAGGGTTTCTTTTACTATAAAATTACAGATAATGTAGAAATTTCAGAAAGGCAGACAGAGATGATCACTTATTCTTACCCACTTCCTTCCACTCATTGTTCTGTGTATACATTAATGCATATCTGTAAAAATAGGATTGTAATATACAACACACTTATATTCTGTTTTTTACTCTTATGAGTATTTTGTTAAAACACTAAATGCTTTGAAAATCTAACTTTTAAAACTAATTCTTGATCAGTGATGTTTTAATGGCTTCTAATCTTTCATGTTAGAAAACAAACCTCCTTGACCATCCTTTTGCCATTGTTGGAATGTTTTCTTAGAATCTATTTCTAAAGGTATAGGCAAGGATTTCCTCAATAGAACTCCAGCAGCTCAGCAACTAAGAGAAAGGATGGACAGATGGGACCACATGAAATTAAAAAGCTTCTGCACAACAAAAGAAATGGTCTCTAAACTGAAGAGACCACCCACAGAGTGGGAGAAAATATTTGCCAGCTATACATCAGACAAAGGACTGATAACCAGAATATACAGGGAGCTCAAAAACTAAACTCCCCCAAATCAATGAACCAATTGATTCCCCCAATTGGTTTTGGTTCCCCCAAAATCAATGAACCAATAAAGAAGTAGGCAACTGAAACAGAACTTTTTCAAAGGAAGAAATCAAAATGGCCAGAAAACACATGAAAAAATGCTCACATGGCCATAAAGGAAATGCAAATCAAAACCACAGTAAGATTCTACCTCACTCCTGTTAGAATAGCCATCATCAAAAACACCCCCAACAACAAATGTTGGTGAGGATGCAGGGAAAAAGAAACCCTCATACACTGAGGGTGGTGGGAATATAAGCTAGTACAACCATTTTGGAAAACAATATGGAGGCTTCTTAAAAAAAAGTAAACATAGATCTGCCATATGATCCAGCAATACCACTCCTAGGGATACAACCAAAGGAATACGACTCAGGTTATTCCAGAGGCACCTGCACACCCATGTTTATTGCAGCACTATTCACAATAGCCAAGCTATGGAAACAGCCAAGATGCCCCACTACTGACAAACAGATTAAGAAAATGTGGTAGTTATACACAATGGAATTTTACTCAGCCACAAAGAAGAATGAAATCTTGTCATTTGCAAGTAAATGGATGGAACTGGAGAACATCATCTTAAGTGAAGTTAGCCAGACTCAGAAGGCCAAAATTCGTATGTTCTCCCTCATAGTCAGACTTTAGACCTAAAACAAATGCAGTAATATTACTGGACAGGGGTCACACGCTAAGAGGGGAACACATACAGGGGGAATAGGCAGGAAATCCAAAACTTTAAAGTGTTTGATGTGCCCACTGTAGAGGAGCTAATATAGTAATCTTAAACTGACAGAGGCCACTATGGGAAGATGACCGGCAAGTAGTGAAGAGGTCAGGTAGAGATGAATCAATTCGGATTGTAATACACATGTGCAAGGAAGCAATGCTAGGAATCTCTCTGTATAGCTATCCTTATCTGAACTAGCAAAAACGCTGTGTCTTTCTTATTATTGCTTATGTCTTTTCTTCAACAAAAGTGGAGAAGAGGGCAGAACAGATTCTGCCTGGAAGTGAGGCGGGTGGGGAGAGAGAGAGGGAGCGGGGGCAGGGGGTAGGAGAGATGGCCCAAACAATGTATGCACATATGAATAAATGAATAAAAAAGGTATAAAGCAAACATTCTTGCTACATTTTATCAAATTGCCCTCCAGAAAGGATATACAGGTTAAGCATCCCTAATCCAAAAACCCAAATCTGAAATATTCCAAAATCTGAAACATTTTGAGCACTGACATGATGCTTAAAACATTTCGGACTTTGGAGCATTTTGGGTTTCAGATTTTCACATTAGGGATGCTCAACGATTAGTCTATGTAAATATTTCAAAATTTGAAAAACTCAGAAATCTGAAACATTTCAGATAAAGGACCCCTATATATCATTCTGTGGGGTAACTTCCTCACCTACTTGTTAAAAACTAGATAATACTTCTTTTTAGAACTGTATTAAGCTGGAAATGTATACCACATTGGCATGTCCTATGTATATTGGTGAATCCAAACATGGTCACACAGATATTGGGTGTTTGTGACATGGCATTTCAATTAGTCTCCATCCTGCTAAGAAGAGAAGCAAACTCAAATGTCTTTTAGTGGTCTGGTATTTAGGTCAATGTGAAAATGACAGCAGAAATTAGGAATGGTAGGGTGTGAGATGAATCAGAAAGTGCGTGCCCTGCCTATGATTCTAAATGTTAAGGTTTTAAACTATATCACACCGGCCAAACAAAGCATCTAATAGAGGCAATTCAGGCCTGGGTTCCCAGCTTGCTATCATCTCATGCCTCCTCCCTCTATTCCATTCCCTCCATACTGTTATCAGAATGATACACCTGATAGCTTCTCATTGCAAGCTATTCACAATGTGACCCCAAATCTTTTTCTCAGAACTTCCCTATCTCAAACCTCTACTTCTGTCATACAGACCTCTTAGAAGAGGTCCTCGAGGACAAGCATTCTATCTTACAAGAAGCAATGCGGCACAGTAGAAAGAGCAAGAGAACTCTGGAATCAGACAGTCCTGAGTCAAATCCTACTTCACCACCAACTAGCAGTGTGACCAAAGCAAAGTTATTGAACCTCATTGAGTCTCCATTCCTCATCTGTAAAATGATACTAACAGCACTTACACTCCGTAGGGTGGTTATGAGGATTCAATAAGATAATATAAACAAAGTACTTATTACACTGTCTAGCATACAGTAGATTTTCAATAACTGGTTAGCGTTACTATAGTACTTGCACAATTACAAACTTCTAGTATCTATTGCAGTAGCTGTTGAAATGAAGAGATGGTGGTAATTATAAGGCAAATGCCTACCACAGCGATTGTTGAAGTGTGGTATACAGACTTTCTTACCAGGATAGGAACCATTTGTGGGCTCCTGTTAAATATGCAGATACCTGAGACTCACTCTTGACTTGATTAATCAGAATTTCTAGAAGGAGAGCACAGGTATCTGAATTTCTTGCTATTATTCCAGCTGACTGTGACTCAACTAAAAGTTGAAAAGCCATTTATGGTATGCAATCCCCTCATTAGGCACCTGACTTCTAAGGTGCCTCGTGGCACCCTATCCCCTGAGTATGACAGTTATCCACTGTCTATGAAGGTAAAAAATGATTCAGAAGAACCTTCCTCTAATAGCCTAGCAGCCTCCCTGCCTCCCTTCCCTGGCCAAATAGTATCAGTGCCGTTGTGAATCACCCATTACTACAAGAATTATTTGGGGATTAAAGATAAATGGAACTTAATCAAATATAAGACTTTTTACTAAGACTTATTCAGCACTTATAATGTACCATGCATACCAACCAGCCTCTATTATGTTGATTATTATGTATTCAATTAATTTAATCCAAATAACAACACTGTGAGGCAGGTGCTATGGTTACTTCCTCTTTCTTTTTTTATTTTATTTTTTACTTCCACTTTCTAAATAGGAAAACTGAGTCACAGAGAGGTTAAGGAAGTTACCTAAGGTCAAAAAGATGGTAAATGACACAGATGATCTGAATCTAGACAATCTGACTCCAGAGCCCAGGATATTATCTAGTATACTGGCTACTTTCCTAAATTAATTGCCCTATGCCTATTATTGCTAATTTAAGATACATACAATGACACTGATATTTATTCCATTCAAGGTCTTCACTATCTCATTACAGTGAATGTACTTATCACAGAAACCTCAAACTCTTTTGTTCCCACAATGTCTTATTTAGGTTTCTAGCCACAAATTCTTCTAACATGATACAGGAAACCAACTACTACCACACAATAGCATGGACAAAGTGCATTTTAATTGTTTATCTTGTCTTTATAGTTTACTGCATCAAGTTTTAAAACTGATATTAGAATCAGATGGCCTATTAGCCTCCTTCATAAAGGAGGCTCCTCCTCCTGTGTGTTTGGATAAAATATGCCTCCAACCCCAGAAAGAGAATGGAGTGGGCAAAGTATTCCAGGGATTTCTTAGCTGGTATGCTTGGCATGAGATACAACATCTTAAATCAGCTGTTCTTTAATCTTTTAGATAAAGTGTAGTCTAAAATAACCAATTTCAAAATGAAATGACAAACCTTGAGAACCTGATGCTAAGTAAAATGACCCAGACACAAAAGGACAAATATTGTATGAGTCCACATACATAAGGTACCTAGAATAGGCAAATTCAGTGACAGAAAGTGAATAGAGGTTACCAGGGGCAGGGGATGGAGGAATGGAGAATTATTGTTTAATGGGCACTATTTCTGTTTGGAAGGATGAACAATTCTAGCAATAGATAATGTCAATGGCTCCCAACATTGTAAACATACTTAATGGTACTGAACTAGACACTTAAAATGGTTTAAATGGTAATTTTATGTTATATGTATTTCATCAAATATTTTTTAAAAATCTTACAGCCTCCAAAAAAACTTTTTAGACTCCTGTGGAGTCAGTGCTTACCAAGGTATCATCATTCTGGTCTCCAAACATTTCTTTAAAAATCTTTCCAGGATCAGGAATTGGAGGGAATATAATTATCTTGAGCCTTTAAGAAAACAGAGATATTCTGGATCAAACCTTCCAGTGCATAGACATGTTCCACTTAAATACAGCCATATTAAAAGAAGGTATGGGCAAAAGTTCTACTAAATTAGACACTTGTAAAAAAACATTCTCCAAAAAGGTAATGGAAAATCAGTATCCACAGAGCATCAAGTTTGGATGGAGCAAGTGAGACACCAGATAAGCAAACTGCTTCTATCCTATCACTTCAATTATAATGGTGCAGAACTTTTCATAGACCAGATGGGAATTTGCTTTTTGTAATTCTGAGAAACAATCTGAGAACAAGGTACAGTCTTCATTTTTCTTTTCTTCTTACTTCTCTCTCCATTTTTTTGCAGGGCTGGGGATGGAACCCAAGGCCTCACACCTGCTAGGCAAGTACTCTGACACTAAACTATATCCCCAACCTTCTCCTCTCCATTTTTTAATGTTATAGTTCTTTGGTAGGCCTGCATCATCTCTCCCAAAATCATATCTTGATCCTAAAACTCTCCCTTAAACTCCACATTCGTATATAGTTGCCTATTTAGCATGTCTACCTGGATACCTAATAGGCATCTGAAATGACAACTTCAAAATTGAAGTCCTAACCTTTCTCTTAAAGCCAACTTTTCTCACAATCTTCTCTATCTTGGGAAGACAGGTATTTACTCAGCTGTTCAAGCCAAAACTCTATCTACAAAGTGTCCTGGAATCCTTGATTTCCCTCACATATCCATAAACAAGAATCTATCATCAAGTCTTAACAATTGGACTTTAAAAATATATCCCATATCTGACCACTTCTACTTCCATTGCCAACCCTCTAGTAAAGCTGCTTCATCTTTCCTCCCCAACACTGCAATGCCTACTAGTCTACCTGCTTCCATTCTTGACCAAGTCAATTTTCCACTTAGCAACTGCAGTGATCTTTTATATATAACAGTACATCAGATCACATCCTTCCACTGCTTGAAATGCTCCAATGTCCCCTATCAGGCTTAGGATTAAACCTCAGGTCATTGCCATGGCCTGCATATATGGTCTGCCAACTTCTTTGACCACTATCCCTGCTGCACTCTCTCTTCTGGTCAGATATACTAAAATCATCCTAGCCTCGGGGCCTTTGCATTTTCTGCTTCCTTGGCCTGGAATGCTCTTTGCTCAAATATCACCTTTATTTGAGTCTCTCCTCAAATGTCACCATCTCAGAGAGGCCTCCCTGGCTATCCTATGTAAAATACAGTCTACGGCCATACCACCCTGAACGTGCCCGATCTCGTCTATGTAAAATACATTTCCTATCACTGCCAGCCCCACTTTCTGCTAACTCTACTTAAATCATAGTATGTGTGTGCCTTCCCCCACACACTAAAACATAGAGACTCTGTCCTATTCAGTCCTGTAACTCTATCACTTAGAACAGTACCGAGCACATAAATAGGCTCTGAACATATAATAGGCATATTGAAAGAATGTTGAAATAAGGTTCAATAATCTTACTCTAATCTTAGGCATTTGTTGTAAGAGCAACAACAGTCCCTTATAGTGAGATTTAGAAAATAAAGCATTCTTAAAGAATGAGCAACATATATTAGTGACAACCTGGTGATGTTCTCTTTCCTATAGCATTGTGTACCAGCCTACTTTGTATTACTACTAGATAAGTCATTTCATTAGCAATGGCCTTCACATCTTTCTTTTGGAGGTAGGGATTGAACCCAGGGCCTCACACATGCTAAGCTACACCTCCAGACCCTATTTCTAAAAATTCATTCCAAGAGCTACCAACTAACTGTTAATAAATTAGGCCTTTGAAAGAGTAAATGAACACAGGGCCTATTCAACAATGCTGAGCACATGTAAAGGGAGCAGCCCTTGAGCAGAGCTGTGAGAAATAATCCGATGCTTTTCTCACCAGAAAATGAGCACAAGAATACTTCTCTTCCATATCATACCAGGAAAAGTCATTTGTAACCAAAATTCTAATATACTGGACAAACACCAGCATAAAGAGTAGTAACCATAGCAACCTGGCTAGCAGAAACTGTAAAACCTGCCTGAGCAGGTGCCTTACCTTTTTAGGTAAAGCAGAAGGATTATGATTGCACATGCAACGATGACTGGAATGATGAGTAACATGGTTATGTAGAATGTAGAGTTGGGCTCCTTACCTAGAGAATGGAAAGCAAACCAGAAAGATAAGAACTAAAACCCCTTTAGTAATAAACCAGACAACCATTCTGTTAGCTAGTGAGATCAGATATTTCTGCCTCTACCACATTCCATTTTCCCAAACTCTTCTATTACCTAAATAGTTTCAAAAGTTCTGTTGTGGTGCCTGAACTTTCTAGATGAGTAAACCCCTTAAGGATTATCTGTGATCAAGATACCTTAATTTGTTCACTGTTGTTTCCTATCTATTAAATATGACATCTCATTAACAGTGCCTGCTTTTACTTACTATTTACTTACTAGAATACCTAAAACAATCCTAACGACTACCACTTCTATGATTCTTAAATGAGCACCTATTATATGCCTGGTACTGTACTAGGTGCTTTGACATGCTTACTTCCTATCTATTTTATGGAGACACATAGTACTATCTTTCTATACAGATGAGAAGGATTTCTATACAGATGAGAAGGATAAGGCTCAGAGAGGATTAGCAACTCAATAGAAGTATTTAGTAAATGATTTCAAAGCCTACCTTGCTATGCCTAACACTTAGGATGTCATTTTTCTATTCTATGCTCATCTTTCCCACAAAGGCATGAACATTTAGGAAGCATCCTCAAGATCTAGCATCATTGTGTTAGGCTGCCTCTAAGATGATCCCAAATGGTTTTCACCTCCTGATAATCACACTCCCATGTAATCTCCTCCCCTTGAGTATGCAGTGCACTAATGACTTCCTTCTAAATAACAGAACAGCAGCAGTGGTGGGAAGATGTCATTTCCAAGACTCAGTGATGAGAGACCATGGTTTCCACATTGGGTGTTCTCTCATACCTTCTTTCTTATTTGCATCTCTCACTTGAGGAAGCCAGTTTCCACATCAGGAGAAAACCCTGTGGGGAGATCTGAGTGGCAATGAACTAAGGGAAGCTTCTGCATTAGTTTCCTAAGGCCCTTGTGACAAATTACCACAAACTTGGTGGCTTAAAACAAGAAAATGTACTTTCTCACAGTTCTGGAAGCCAGAAGTTCAAAATCAAAGTATCAGCAAGTCCATGCTCCCTCTGAAGGCTCTACAGAAGAATCCCTCCTGTCCCAGCCTCTGGTAGCTTTCAGGAATCTTTAGTGTTCCTTGGTTGTAGCTGCATCATTCCAATCTCTGCCTCCACCTTTACTGGGCCTTCTTCCCTGTGCATCTGTGTGTCTCTCTGTGTCTCTGTGTATCCCCTTCTCTTCTTATAAGAATCCTGGTCATTACAAGTAGGGCCCGCTCTAACCCAGTATGACTTCATCTTAACTTTACTACATCTACAAAAACTCTATTTCCAAATAAAGACACATTCACAGGTACTGGGGATTGAGCCTTGACATATCTTTTTGGAGGACATGATTCAATCCGCCACAGCCTCCATCTAGTAACCAGTGAGGGACTAATGCGTCCAACAACCACATGTGTGAACTTGGAAGTAGACTCTTCAGTCCCAGCCAAGCCTTCAGATGAGTCCAGCTGCAAGCAGGACTGCAACTTCATGAAGCCTCTAGCTAAACGGTGCCTAGACTTCTGACCCATCCCTCTAAGTCTTAGCAACTGTTTTTAAAAGTTGTTTTTAAAGTTTTTAAAAGTTGGTTCTATATTGCCCCCTAGAGCCACAAAAAGGAAAGCCTAATTCCTTTTCTTCCTGGAACTATCTCAACTATTAGAGATCAACAATTACGATTTCTCAAATTTACTTCATCAGTTGTTCCTTCCTAAGTTTTGAGATTCTTCAACATCCCGATTACCCTTTGAAGGAGAGATTCCAGTCTACCAATGTGTATTCTAGTGTGGTGCTTGGCATGGAATATTGCACACTTCTGATGTAGCTAGACCACTATGCCCCACCCTGTGGCATTCCTTTGTTCTGAATGCTACACCAACACTGCTGCCCAAGATTGCACATGTAAATGCCTTTTAGGGATATGTAAGGCTCCAGTGTTGAGTCCCATTGAACTTACAGTCAAGCAAAGTCCTGTAGCCCACTCCTCAACACACACACACACAGTTTGGGAGACCCTCCATCTCCAAAATAACCAGAGCAAAATGAACTGGAGATGTAGCTCAAGCACATATATATATATATATATATATATATCTCCCAGGTCTTTCTCATCCTGTACTTGAATCTCACTTGTTCAGTATCACCACAAACAAATGATTCTTTTTTCAAACCTAGACACAGGTTTATCCTGATTATATGCCATAGAGGCCATTACTTCCCTCTTAATTCTATCAACCAGCATATAGAACAGTCCTCTAGCATGGTACAACCTTCAGATTTGATCATGCCTGCCTTCTATGTCTTTTTTTCAGGTTGTTAATAAAGATGGAGACAGGATAGAGGGGTGGATAACACCATTTGGATTATGGTTTTCCAAAGAATTGCACATTGTTAATTAACCATGGAAGATTTGACAGTAATTAAACAGGAAATAAATTTCAATTGTTAAGTACTCTTTGATTAACATTAAGAAAGCATAACAGCTCCTTTCCCAATCTACTTTCTGTTTCAGCTTAGTTTCTTTGCATTAGTGCTTTATATTATGATAAATTCTGTTCTCTTACCTATACTCATTGCTTGACTCCAATTACTCCAGAGTTTGTCATCCTCATAGCATAACTTATTGGTTTTGACTCTTATTCTGACTGTGTAAAAAGTATCAGGAAGAACACCAGGGACCATGAAACAAATTGTATCCTTAGATATAAAATAAAAATGCACAAAAATATTACCAGTTTATACTCTTTCTCTGCTATTGAATCATAATATAGTTGTCTGCCAAATTCTGTATATGATTAAGACTTGGATTGCAATTCAAGTTATCTTTCACTCCTGAAAAAATTGGCAATAACCCACAGAAAAAAATAGCTTGTTTTTCACGAAGAGTTCAAATTTACATTGCTAGGCCTATCCCACCCCCAAGGACTTAGAGCTCAAGCCCAAATAGCTAAAGTTGAATTTACTGACCTCCATGTTTCTCTCAAATTCTGAATTCTGACATTTGTCCTCTTCAACCTTGAAAATAAAAAAAATGAATGAGTTCCAAATGATTAAAAACACATTTTAGCTGATGCCGGTAGCTCATGCCTGTAATCCTAGCTACTTGGGAGGCTGAGATTAAGAGGATAGTAGTTCAAGGCCAGCCTGGGCAAATAGTTCTTGAGACCCCCATCTCCAAAATAACCACAGCAAAATGGACTGGAGGTGTGGGTCAAGTGGTAGAGTACCTGCTTTGCAAGTGTGAAGCCTGTATTTCAAACACCAGTCCCACCAAAACAACAACAACAAAAACCCATTTTATGTCATTTAGCCATTGCAAACAAGCTTTTTTTTTGTCTCATCAAAAGAGAACCAGGTACAGTAGGAAAAGGTTAGTCTTTTTAATAACTGGTACTGGGTCAATTACATATCCATATGGGAATAAAAGAATCTTGCCTCCTAACTCACACTATTCACAAGATCATTTCCAAATACAATGCAGATCTAAATATGGAAAGTAAAATAAATGAACAAATATAAACACAAATATAAATATAATAAGCTTCCAGATAAACACATAGAACATCTTCATGACCTTGAAAAACGAAGAGTTCTTGAACAACACCAAAATAATTCATCAACCAAAAATGGAAAATTTTTATAAAGTGGCCTATATTAAAATTAAAAAGGGCTTTTTTTTAATCAAATGAGACCTTATTAGGAAAATAAACAAGCAGTATATAGAAGGTGACAACATATTTGCAATTTCTGACAAAGAATGTACATATATTTTTTTCTCTACAAATTAATAAGAAAAAAGACAACTCAATAGAAAACCTGGCAGAAGACTTGAACAGGCACTTCACAAGAAGATATGCAAACATAAAAAAGTACTCAATTTCATTGATCATCAGGGAAATACAAATTAAATCCACAAGATAATAATATACACCCTATTAGACAATATCAAGTATTGGTGAGGATGTGAGACATCTAGAATTCTCAATTTCTGCTTAATGTTTAAATTGGCACAACTATTTGGGAAAAGTGTTATTATTTACTGAAGGCAATCCTATATAACCTTCTCTCTCTCTCTCTCTCTCTCTCTCTCTCTCTCTCTCTCTCTCTCTCTCACACACACACACACACACACACACACACACACAGAAAGGTAGCACTTGCACACTAAGAGACAAGTATGCATATGTTCATAAAACACTACTCATAATACCCTAAACTGGAAGCTCTTCAAATCAGTGAGAAAATAAATAGTGGTATAGTCACACAATGGGATGTGTAATGAGAATGAACCATCTACAATTATAGGAAATAATATTAGGGAATTTCATAAACATTATGTTGAATGCAAAAGGTAGGCACACACCAAAGTACATTCTATATAGTCCATTTATACAAAGTTTTATTTATTTCTTTTCTTTTTTGAGATGGGGTCTCACTATGTTGCCCAGGCTGGCCTTGAACTCCTGGGTTCAAAAAACCTTCCTACCTCAGCCTCTCACTTCAGCCTCCAGAGCAGCTGGGAATGCATGCATGACCACCATGACCAAAAAGATTAAAAAGCAACAACAATGCCAGGTGCAGGTAGCTCGTGCCTATAATCCTAACTACTTGAGAGACTAAGATTGGGAGGATTGAGGTTCAAGGCCAGCCCAGAAAAAAAGTTTGTGAGAACACCATCTCCAAATAACTAGAGCAAAATGCTCAAGCAGTAAGTGCCTGCTTTGTAAGCTCAAAGTTCTGAGTTCAAGCCCCAGTTCCACCAAAAAAAGGTGGAACAAACGAAGCCTAGGGGGTTAGAAGTCAGGATAATAGTTGCTTCTTGGGAGAGTAGCAACTGAAATAAGTCATAAAGGGGCTTCGGGGTGCTGGTTACATAGGTAAAAGTTCATTCGTGAAAATCATCTATGAAAACTCATTGATTTACATTATGATTTATGTAATTTTTCTATAGGGTATTACACATCAATACATTTTAAAGACAGAGAGAGACTAGTCTCCCTTGTGAGTATAAGATATAAAAATAAATAAGTTGGAAAAAAGAACACATAATATAGAATTCTCCTCTCCACTATATCAGTCATTTGCTATCTGATGTAAAGATAGTAACCAGTTCCTTAAATGAAAGTTTTTTAAAAATTAAGTGAGAAATCAATGCAGGAAAATCTGTTGCTTAATTTAAATAGTCACCTTCTATCAAAGAGGCATTTAAATATGCAATAAAGACTAGAACATATATTTTGGCACCCAGTATCATTCAGTACATAGTTCCTAGCCACATTTATGAGAAGCTGAAAAGCTAACAGAATGAGGAAAGGACATCTTTTCGATCTTTCATGCAAGGGCAGAGAAAAAGTCACTCAGCAGGGCTCTTTGGTCCCATTGTTGTCCATGCAGAACCATAGGTATACTAAGGAATCACAAGTGTCAACTACCATTTGAGGGACCAAGCTACAGATTCATGTCCGTCCTTCCCTGGACTATCTTCCAAATACAGAAATCCCAAAGTCAGCAAACCAGTATATGGAATGAAGTCTAGGCTCCTGTTCAAATCTAAATCCCCATGCATAGTGTATCAGTTACTCAGAGGCCTCTGAAAGGAAGGAGACAAGGCCACAGAACACTGAGTAGACAGTTTATAGGTATGGGTGATAAGAAAGCAAGTCCTTCCTTACTTCATGTCATGAGCTACCTCAGACTACAGCCCCCGGGTGATGGTAACAGTTTGTGTTCCAGTTTACTTCCTCCTCGTAGCTGTAACATCAAGCAAAATAATTCCTCAACTAGTTACAAGAAGAAAAAAGGGTCTAACCAGCAAAGCTCAAAATCAGTAAGCACACAAGATCTGATGAAATTCTAAGGGAGGAAACAGCTGGCGAACATCTGTGAGGAGAAAGCATCAAACAAGTATATAAACAGAGTTACTTCCTAATAGACTATAGTTCTGATTTAGGTGGACAACTTCCATGGTACATATGTTCTCTTTAGCTCAGAAGTTTAAAAACTAATTTAATTTAACAAGACTTTATTAAGTGATGATAATATACATGTTGTTATACCAAGTAATCTTGGTCAAAGTTCAATGCACAGAGACCAACCAAGCCAGGCAGGGTGGCTCATGCCTTTAATTCCAGTTACTCAGGAAGTGAAGATTGGGAAGATCAGAATTCAAGGCCAGTCCATACAGAAAGTTAGCAAGATCCCATCTCAACAAACAAGCCAAGCATGGTAGAGTGTGCCTCTAATCTCAGTTATGTGGGAGGTGTAGATAGGAGGATTGTGGTCCAAGACCAGCTTGGGCAAAAAGCACAAGACTCTATCTGAAAAATAACTAAAGCAAAAAAAAGGGATGAGGGCATGGCTCAAGTGGAAGAGTGTTTGTCTAGTAAACACGAAACCCTGATTTAAACCCCAGTATTGCCAAAAAATAAAAATTTTAAAAAGTTATTTAATCCCTCTGAGCCTTGGTTTTTCGAAAAGATGAAGGTTATAATAATATCTATTTCTAAACATTTAGCAAATGATAACTATTACTATTAAGAGGAAGTATTAAGTTTGTCTCCAGTGGTTAAGAATACAACCTTTGGAGTAAGAACTTTGCTTAAATCTTCCTTACGAGAAATGTGGCCTTAGGCCTAACTAAGATTTCTCATTTGTAAAATGGTGACCAAATAACAGGATATAGATCTTTAGTGTTAGTGTGAGCTCTAAATGAGGTGATTCAGACACAGTACTTACTAATGTACCTGGTGTATAGTAATCATTCAGTACATGTAAGCTGTACAAAATCGACACAACCTGACTCCTCCCTACTGTAGTTTATATTTCCAGTGGAGAGAAAAGGCATACATGTGACCAGGTTTTAAATAACAGGACATATTAAGTTAATGCATGTACCACATGTCTCAAAGAAGCACTAGGGAGGAGCAAAGGCTGGAATAATCAAGCATATTTCAGCTTTCTTATAACCCACTTTGTCATAAAGCCACGCATCACCCCCTACTCACTGCTTTTGCCCTGTGCAAGATGCTGGGCTCCTTTAAAAGCCAATATAAAACAATTTGCATCTAGCCTCTAAAACTTGAAAGCAAAAAGGGCCCAGGCAGGTAGCAAACAAATGAGTGGTGCAGTCCTTGTGGTCTTGAAGCACCACCTATGGAAATATATTCCTAGGGTAGCATGATTTTAAATGCGGGCAAAAAAAAATCAAATTTTTATAAGCAAAGAAACTCCCACTTTGTGGTCCAAACAAATATGTGTAAGACCTTAATTTGTGACTTCTACTCTAAATGTAACAATGGGACCCTGAGGTTAATCTACATTCTGGTGGCAAACCTACAGGGACCTTTTAGTTTTGTATTAGAATCTGAATGGCATACATGTACATAATTCAAGCAATACTGACTACTCAAATTTAACTACGCTCCTTGCCACAAAGTCCAAGAAAATGGAATCACCTTATAGGACACTACATGATCTGATCTCTACTACTGCTTCGGAATCTTTCCTACTATAACTAAAAGGAGGCCACGCCAGCCTCCTTTTTGTTTTCTTACACATGTCAAGGTCAGTCTTGCCTTATCTTTGTATCTGCTATCCCTCTAGCCACAGACCTTCACACAGCTACCTCCTATTCAGCATTCTAGTCTCCTCTCAAATGTCATTACTTTGGATGACTTCTCTACCTATTATTTCCTCAGACCTTCCTAGTCACCCTGTTACTTTGCCCTATTTTATCTTCTTCATAATACTCATGCTCTGAAATAGCTTGCTCATTTACATACTTATTTTTTAATATGTAAGCTCACTCACATATTAACTTGTTTATCAGGTGTCATGTTCACCAGCTTATCCCCAGCACATAAAACAGAGTCTGGCATATGATAGTCATTTAATAAAAATTTGTTGGGCAAGTGAATTAATGGATAGCTGAATGTTGCAGTCAATAGACCCTTAAACTTCTACTATGCCCTATTTCAAACAAAAAGTTTCATTGCCATTATTACCTGGTGACAATTGTAAGAGCTACATTTCATTGATATTTCAGTGTAAAAAATTCTAGGAAAAGAAAAATACCCAAAGAAAAAAAATGATCTCAAAAAAAAAACAAAACTTACGTAGAAAATACCATGTGTCTCAGTTTGGCTGTTATTGACTTCTACTTCATAAGATAAGCACCTGCTAATAAAATTTGGTGGATTCTTCCATTGTACATATAAGACACCATTTTTGAAGAAGAGAGTTTTAATATGTGGAGGATCTGGTTTCACTGAAAGACAGAAGAAAGAAAATTAGCTTTCAAAAGTTTGATTATAAAATGGATAATAAAGGTTCACAAAGTTAAATCAAAATAGGACTGATGGCTTTTAATGGCATTAAACGATCCAATACATGGTTTTAGAATTTCTGAGTAGCCACAATCAGTGGGAAAATTTATTTAAAGCTGCCTAGTAAAGTAGATTTAAGGAACATCTTTGTGGGTGTGTTGATAATGTGAACTCTGACATGCATCTGGTTAAAAATGGCCGGGCTGTAATCAGGACATCTAGCTGCAACATAGAGAATAAAGGAAAGAAGTGCTTGGATTCAGATGTGCTTCTACCTGATGGGTAACAAAGTATCAGGTAAAAGGGGTTTCTGTCTCTCACTCATGCCAATCCAACACCACAATTAAAACATTGTCCTAGTCTCCACCCCATGCTCTGACATGGATGTGTCTCAAAGACATGTTAAGTGAAATAAGCTAGTCACAAGAAGACAAATGCTGTATGATTCTACTCATATGAGGTATCCAAAGTAGTCAAATTCATAGGAACAGAAAGTAAAAAGGTGGTTGCCTAGGGCTGAGGGGAAGAGGGAATTAATGTTTAATGGGCGTAGTTTCAGTTTTACAAAATGAAAAAGTCCTAGAGAGCTGGTATACAACAATGTAAATATATTTAACATTACTAAATTGTATACTTAAAATAATTATGGTAAACTTAATATTATCTGATTATAACCACAAATAAAAATAAAATATTTAGCTGGGGGTGTGGCTCAAGTGGTAGAGCACCTGCCTAGCAAGTGCAAGACCCTGAGTTCAAATCCCAGTACTACAAAAAGAATAAAATATTTTTAAAAAAGAATTAGCCAGTCAGATTTATTTTTGCAGGAGTCAACTATACATAAGATCAAGCAACAGAAGATAATGGATAATTAACAGAAAACAACTTGTGGATGTCATCTTCTGACTGAGACGGATTGCCCTTTATGTAACCATTAATTCCAGAAAAATAAGCCTTAAAACTGTATTTAGGATAAACTGCCAAACAACAAGTAGAAACAAAGAAGGCTTTGCTTCAGCCTACCACATGTAGGCTCATTCCTCTGGCCTACAAATTATGTTACCTTTGGTCCCCTCTTGGAATTTACTTCCATGGAAGGGGTAGTATATAATATTCTGCTCACAGACCTGGAAGCCTTTGTCAAATGATGGCTCTTTGTGTATAAATCATCTGTATGCATTTAGCCATAATCTGAGCTCCCTATAAGGATATTATAACAAATAAACCAGTATGCCGATGGTATTTTGCTTTAGAGATTTACAAAATGCTTTTTATACACATTCTATTATTTGCATCTTATGACAATTCTGAACTCAAAAAGGGCTACATACTCCACTTTGCAGATAAGGAAACACTTCACTTGAAGAATGTTTATATGTCTTGTCCAAAGGAAGAACTAGGACTTCAACCAAATATTTGGTGTTCAAGTTGAGGCCTCTAATAGGCCAACACTCAGCTAGTCCACCCAGATACGGCTATCCTGGTTGTTCTGACTGTTAAGAGCCTATGTCACACAGACTGTCAAATATTTGAATATGGAGGTAGAGGTGGAGGTCAGTGGTACAGTCTGTGCCTAGCATTTGTGAGGGCGTAGGTTTAATCTCCAACATAAAAAAAAATCAAATATCATCCCTGATTATACCACCTTCAATCTAAACTTTTTTCTAACTAAGAGAAAGATTATTCAGGAAATATATGATCATCTGAGCATTATCCTCTCAAGTATCAAAGTAAAAAGAGACTAGGTCTTAGAGTCAGACTACCTGGGTTCCAATTTTGGTTCTATAACTAATTGTGCTAAGCCTCAGCCTACTCCTAAGTAAACAAGGATAAAGCATCCAGCACATGTACTCAATAAACAGAATTCTCAAACTTGCTTCTTTAAAAAAGGATCTATCAAAGAATGATCTACATGAGTGCAGTTGCTTGTTTCAGGAGGATCTCAAGATTAAAATTACCATTGTTTAAAAATTGTTTGTATTGATTATTCAAAAGATATAACATACTTTTATCCACACTGTCACAGAGGGCTTCTAAAACTTACCACGGGAAGTTAAAGGCACTATATTGAAGGATGGCCTAATTTTTCCGGCATTATCCTTGACCATTATTTGGACACTGTGCTGTTCAAAACTGGAATCCTTCACTTTAGTCAGATCAAAGGAACAAGCAATGTGTTGGCCTTCTCTATAGATGTTTTCACATTGAAGAATTTTTCCTAGGCTGCTGTGCCTATAAGATTAAAATGCATTATTTTGAAAAAAGGAGAAATTTTTTAATGACTGAAAGAGATGTCCATGAAAATCAATATGCTCAATAAGGCATGATAGCGTGATAGACTTTTTAAACCCTATTTTATAATGTGGTTCACTTCTTATTCAAGAAGGAAAGACCTTTGCTGATAGCCATGGACATTACAAGAGTCCTGACCTTCTATATGAGGGTAGACATTCTGAGCCAAGAAGAGAAGTTTTACACTTCTTGAAAATGCCTACATACTGAGTCCCATGGCTCCACTCTGGTCCCCTTTTCTTGGCTTGTTCTTCTCCTTCTTCTCAAGGGGGTCATAATCACATTCTTCTCTATTTCTAATTCACTCAATCCAGTTTTTCACTCTTGTCACTGTACTACAATTTGTATCTGTGGATTCCCAATCCTGACCTTTTACCTAACTGCTGAGCAGTTTGAAAGAGTTCCCCTCTTGCTCAGTCAGTATCCAGAATATATCGTGTGCCCTCCCTTAACTGCCTTTTCTTCTAGCTTTCCCATTTTCTTCATTCAGAGCTCATTTCCCCTAGGCACCTTAGATGTTTTTAAATTACCATTTTTTCCTCCTTTCCTTATATTCTATCACCAAATTATGTTTGCAAAGCTTCTTAGAGTCTCATCTTCTGTGATATTTCCATTGTTCACACCCCAATTCATGATCTCATTGCTTCACGCTTCATGTCTTTGCCAGATTGACTTCCCTGACATTCATTATTAGTGCCCTCTGATTACTGCCAGATCAATGTTCCAGAACACAATGGTTTTCTGAGTATTCTACTCCCTCATGTGGCTTTCAATGTCTTCCATAAGGAATACTACTGGAATCTTACTTCCTATTTCACTTCTACATATACCTTCCCCAATGATCATCAGCACCTAGCCCAGTATAGAAAGACAGAATGTGCTCATTGCATTTTTTTTTTGCCTTGGCTATCAGAGAATTCTGTTTTTCAGTAACAGAGGACACAGAGTCAAGCCTTACATCATTACCCACAATGGGAGTTGTGCAAAGGTTCTACAGAAAAGGAAGATAATTTCTTAAAAAAATGAAACAAGAGTGAAGAGTCCCAAATCCTTGACATGTGACCTCAAAATCATCTGTAGCAATTTAAAATGCTGATTAAACCTTCTTCTAGAGAATGTGACTTAGAAGGTTTGCTGTGGGTCTAGGAATTAGCATTCCAGTGGAAATTCTCCAGGGAATTCTGCTGCACATTAGTTTTTTTTTTATGGTGTTGGGGATTGAAGTCAGGTTTCTAACTACTTAAGCCATGGCCCCAGTCCTGCAAATCACTTTTTAAAAATATTTAATGTATTTACTAGTATAGAAATTGTGCAAAGAAATGCTTCAATATCGAAAATGTTCTGCGGGGTGCCAGTGGCTCACGCCTGTAATCCTAGCTACTCAGGAGGCAGAGATCAGGAGAATCATGGTTTAAAGCCAGCCTGCACAAATAGCTCATGAGACTCTATCTCAAAAAAACCCATCACAAAAAAAGGGCTGGTGGAGTGGCTCAAGTAGTAAAGTATTTGCCTTGCAAGAGGGAAGCCTTGAGTTCAAACCCAAGTACCACCAAAAAAAAAAAGAAAGAAAGAAAGAAAATGTTCTTGTCTTTCAAGAGACAGTAAAAAACCTTTTTATCCTAGATGCAGGTCTGTGTTTTTATGAAAAAAAAACTTTTAAAACTAAGTTACTGTCATGACTTTTGGGATCAGACAGTCCTGGAATGCTTTCCACTCATGGCCAGAAACATAAACTAAAAACACTAAAGACACTTTTCTTACATAACTAAAGAGAACTAAGTATAAAATTCATTTAAAAAATAATGAAAGGAAGTCCTCTAATGGGCAATCTTGTAGATCCTTCTTTCATTTTTGTACCCTGAATATCTCATATGTATTCATGGAGCCCGTATTCGAAAATTTTAAACAATTTTGTTGTAAATTAGAAATAATCAAAGTCAAAATACTGGTTTTGGACAGCCTTTTTGAACTTCTTGTGAAAGATTACATACATGAAAAATCTAATGTAGAAAGTTAAAATTCACAAGCTGAATTCCTCTGTACAACTACACTGCAGACATGAAGAAGAAATGAACAAACGATGACTATTTTCCCAACTCTGGAGGTGATTAATGTAACAGAAAAATTCCCTAAAATTCATGGCCCTGGCTAGTCTGTAGCATTCAAGTCAGGCTCCTTTCATTGCCAGACTATCCCTGCAGGGACACAAGTTACCACCACAGGGCTTCAAAATAAGTATTTTGAATTTTAAAAAATGAGTACACATTTTCTGTGATATAATTTATTCTAGTAACTAAACCATTTCTGGGTGTTTGTTAATGAAAGCTGTCTTGACTCCCTGCTTTTGTGATTTTGATTGGAAAGGACCTATCTAGGGGAGTGCCTGGAAGGAGGAGTAGGCAATTCTGTGCAGTGGGAGAAGCGGCCAGCACCGGGTGCTGACTTTATCTGCAAGGGAGTCAATAATGACAGTCATCACGTATTGACAATCATTACTGCATACATGCTGGCAGTTAGCATGGGTCCAAACACTTTTCTATATAACAACCCTCACAACAGCCTTAAGAAATAGGCTCTTATTATCACTATCCCCATTTCACAGATTATAAAACTGAGACCCAGAGAGAAGAGACTTGCCCCAAATCACATTGCTAGTAAGGAAGAAAGCTTAGTTCTTTGTTTGCCTTCTTTGCTAGCAAGTCTTCAGGAACCAGAAGACTTCTCCCTTTTGATTTCTAAACTATAATCTCCTGAGTTGCTTATACATCCCAATTCCTCATCCCAACCCCGAATGTTCTCTAGCTTTGGATCTACCAAATATTTTATGACTGATTTACGGAACACTACCATGTGTCAGGTACCAGGAGAAACAAAACACAGCCCCTGCTCTCAAAGGAGACTGCAGTCTGTGGTGGGCTACCACCAAATAAACAGGAAATGACAACACAATGTACTGAATACTGTAACACGCAAAAGTACAACATGCCGTGGGACATGACCAGAGGGCATGTCTCCAGACTTGAAAGGTCATGGAAGGATTTCTGGAGAGGAAAGAGCATCTGAGCTGAGCTGAGGACAAATAGGAGACATTGGGTGAAAGGCTAAGGCATGGCTGTGAGAGGAGGCAGAATGTTCCCCACTATTCTGTGTGAACATTCAGTTGAGTGTCATTGGTTTCTGAATGTTTGAAGAGTCAGTTTGAGGAACTGAAAGAAGTTCTGATGACAGAGTCCAGGTCATAAGTGGCTTTGTCTGTCATATTGAAGACTTTGGATTTTATCATGAAGCCACTAAGGGTTTTAAGAAAAGGAGAAAACTAGGTACCAAAAGTCAGCAAGTAAAACTATAAAACCTCAAAAGAGAATTTTTTACATGGGGCAGGGGGAAACAAACTTCCAAAAGGAACCATACAATCTCAGTCCCATTTTGCTTCACCTATAGCATTTTCAACTTCATCAGGAGGACCTTCCTTCTCACTGGGAAGGAGAGTGAATATGAGCCCCAGGCCACTTTGGAGGTTTTCATTCAAAAATTTATGTGATTTCAGGAGAGAAATATGTTCAACCTGACTCAAACACTATGCACTGTAAATATGTATTGAAATATCACGTGGTACTCCAAATATTTATGTAGTTTTTATATTTTTACGAATGTATCAGTTAAAAATTAACTTAAATGAAAACAAATCTGTGGGGTATTTTGCATTCTATTTCAGGATACAGGCATGAGTGTTTTAATATGCTGAAAATACTTTTTATCAAATCATCAAGCAAAATGGGCACTCCAAGATTTTTTTTTTGTGGTACTAGGGCTGAACTCAGGGCCTCATGCATTGTAGGCAGGCGTGCTACCACTTGAGCAATGCCTCTAGCCCCAGGATGATTTTATTTTGAGGTATTGGGGATGGAATCCAGGACTTCATGCATGCTAGGCAGGCACTCCACCACTGAGCTGTATCCCCAGCTTGACATTCCAGGATAAAAGGTCATGCTTATCCTGTAGGCCTAGACACAGCCCCACACACCCCATTCTCTCATAGCCATTTTAACAAACAATAATGAGGGGGACAAAACCATGTGAAAGGCAGATTGCCAAGGACAGATCTCCCCTTCTCTATCCTGCTACCACACTGACTCAATATCCATATTTCTGAACAGAGAGGGGGATAATGGGTAACAAAATACAGTAACGGGTGTGTGGGAAATAGTTCTAATGTCTGCAGTGCAATAGGGTGCTAAAGTCTACCACAAATAATTATATATTTCAAAATAAGTAGAGGAGAAGAGTTTGAATGCATAGAAATGATAATACTGAGGAGATGGAAATGTTAATTACCTTCACTTGATCACTACACATTATATACATGCATCAAATTATATTTTATCCTTAAATATGTATGAATATTATACGTCAATTTAAAAAGTGGTCAGTGCATCTATAGGCTTTCAGGGCCTTTAGAAAGAGTAAATAAAGCTGCTTTTTTAAAAAAAAAATCCCATTCCTCAAAACATTCTCAGTCTCTGAGAAACTCCCCATCTGTGCAGTCAGTCTCCTCTTTACAGCTTCCAAGATTCCCCTCCACACCCCACAGTCCACTGGACCCTCCTAAGAGTCTTTCTATACTTACACGAGCCTTCAGCATTTACTGCCACATTTTAACATAGCTAACTGTATTGGCCACTATTTCCCTTTCTATGTTTTAAGCTTTAGGAGCAAGGATACAAGTTTCTTGCCTGCTGCCTATTCAGTGTTTTATCCACAATGTGTGCCAAATAAAAGTTTACTGAATTAAATTGGAATCACCTGGGCCTTTCTTCCTTGTTTTATTGCTAATAATTCTAGGGAGTTTATTCTGAAGGAATTCTAAAGGAAAAGGAATAATTAAAGACTAATTTAGAAATTTAACAGTTTATATCTGATATAGTCACAAATATCAAATACCAAAGCATCAAATATCAAAATTATTTTGTGAGAAGCTAAACTACTCATGGAACCATATAATTTTTCTTTTTAAAACTAGATACCACAAACTCATACATTGTGGGCAGGAATGCAAGATGATCCAACTGTTCTAGAAAATAGTTTGGCAGTTTTAAAAATAAAACTGAATATTCAATTACCATATAACTCAGTAACTGCACTCTTGTGCATTTAGTCCAGAAAAATGAATAGTCATGCTTACATAAAAACCTGTATGTGAATATTTATAGCAGTTTTCATCATAGTGACAAACTGGAAATAACTGAGATGTCCTTCAGTGAATGAGTAGTTAAATAAACAGGTACATTCATATTATGGTATACTACTCAGCAACAAAAAGGAATGACCTCTTGATATGTATAAATACTTGTATGGCTTGTAAGGGCATTATGCTGCATAAAAAAGCCAGTATTGTGTGGTATATAATGTAGGATTCTATTCCAGTAACATTCTTGAAATGACAAAATTATAGAGGTGGAAAACAGCTTAGTAGTTGCCAGAGGTTAGAGACTTGGGAGAGAGGAATGCCAAAGAAAAGGGGTGCAGGAAGTTCGATGTGGCTATACAAGGACAACTGGAAAGATCTTTATAGTGATGGAACCATGTGAAAAATTACATAGAATCACACACACACACACACACACACTCACACACATGCATTTAAAACTGGTGACATGAGAATAAGATTGTGGATTGTACCAATGCCAATTTTCTGGTTCTTATATTGTATTATAGTTTCATAAGATGCTAACACTGGGAGAAACTAGATAAAAGGTACAGAGGTCTTCCTATACATTTTTTGCAACATCATGTGGATCTATATTTAAAAATTGAAAGTTATTTTTAAAGTAAACACTCCACTCAAAGCAGATGCATCTTTCCATTGAAGCAAATTGCCTGTCTTCTTGCCCTGGGGCCAGGGGTGTAGCTCAGTGGTAGAGTGCTTGCCAAACATGCACAAGACCCATAGCCTCACCACCACAAAAAGAAAGAGGGAGAGGAGGGGAGAGGAAAGGAGAGGAGAAGAAAAGGAAAAGAAGAGGAGCAAATGACAAGAAAAGGCTACTCTTTAAAAAAAAATCTAGGTTGAACCCTAAGGCTCCCAACACAATCACTGCTTCAGTAAATCTACCATGTATACATACTCACCAATAGTAAAGAGTATAGTTTGTGTCAGGACTTGTATTCCTTCCAGGGAGCCAAGAACACTTCATGTAGCTCAGGTTGTGCCAAACACACTGGAGCTCAGTCACAGCAGATTCAGGGTCACCTAGAATATCCAGGCAAGAGCTTTAGGACCCTTCTTGTCTTATAACACAAACTAGCCAATGGCTCTGTGGCCTGGGGGATGGCGAGGGCATTTTGGGCTGCTTTACCAAAAAGCTAATCCCTACTCTCTCACCCATTTTACCTAGAAGTCACCCAGGATGGCAAAAACCCAAATCTAAATTTGTTCACAACCTTCTCTCTCACCTCCTGATATGTAGAAAATAGCTTTGCTATTTCTGAAGGCCCCTCATTTACCTCTAACTAGAGAGAGAGGTTAAAGGTCAAATAATATTTCAACCATAGGCAATAACTCCAAAATTCCTAAATGAATGCAGAAACACAAACAACCCCTATTTAAAAAAAAAAAACTTTTATCAAGGTACAAGTTACTTCCCTATCTTTTCATTAGTACTGACACATCTTATTTATAAAAAAGTTAACAACACTTCCTGAAGCAATAATTCTGGAAATTTTCCTGAAGCATAAAGTCTTAGTAGTTACTTGTTGTATGTTGTGACTTAGGAGCCCTAAAATCTTTCCCCTTGATTTTTTTTGTTTGTTTGTTTCAGTCAGGGTTTCATTACGTTTACCAGGCTGGCCCCAAACTCCTGGGCTCAAGCAATCTTCTTGTTTCAGCTTTCTGATTAGCTGAGACTATAGACATGTGCCATCATGCCATGCCTGAAATCTTTCTGACTTGAAATCCCTATCTTTATAAAACCACTATAGTTATCATGGTTTTCTTAAAAGCACTGAATCAGAGGACCTAAAGAAGTCACAAAGTACATTTTTTCCTCATAAAACAGATCAGGATAATAGTATATACCTTACTCAATTCACATAAGCTTGTGGCGCTCAATTTACTAGAGATGTGTCATTTTTCAAATAATTATAAAATAAAGCACTATAACAACTGGGCATCATTATTGAAGTTGTCTGAGAGCCCCTCAAAGGCAGAGATATCTTCACGTTTATTAAAATCTAGTACCATGCCGGGTACTTGTCAGACTCAGTGAAGGTCTGAGAATCCAATGAAATAATGAACAATAAGCATAAGCATGTGGAACATTTGGATTTACTCTCTAAGTACCAAGAGACAGTGCTTTCAGTTGTTACCTTCAGGGGGTGAGATGCACTTTTCCACCAAAATGCTAGGCTTCTCACTTTCATTGGTGCTACACTGGGACCCCACTTGCAGACAGATCCTCTCATTTAGGGGTACTTCCTTTGAACGATGAGTTTCTGGAGCAATTTGCTGAGGTTAGAAAATTAAGAAGACAATGCTGTAGCAAACACACCAAAACACAATTAAATAATAAAGTATTGTATGCCCAAATGTGTTAAAAATGCTAAGTTCTCAACTGGGGGTTATTTTACTCCCTGCCATTCCTGAAAACACTCAGTAATGTCTAAGGCCATTTTGGTTGTTGTAACTTGAAAGGGGACACTACTGGCATCTATAGGGTACAGGACAGGGATGATACTAAGCATGCTATGAAGTGCAGCACAGCCCACCTTCCTCCTTCAAAAGAATTATCCTGTACCAAATGGTAGTAGTGCCACCAATGAGAAACCCTAGTGTAAATAAAAAATAAGTTTCCACATTTTAAATGTATGAACTTCATGAAATTTACTTATAATCCTACTATGATAGCATATCAACTGTCTAAAAGCAATTTAAAAGCAAACACCATATGATTATCAAAATTCAATGCCAAGCACATCTAGCATACTATCAACATTACGGTAAAAAGGATTATTTTAAACTGCAGTAATCTTGGTTTACATCTGGGGACTGAGTCAGGCCATAGAGAGACTTTTCATCAAATACCTTTCTGTACTGCTTGACATTTTGACCATCTTTATCAGTATGTAAGTTTCAAGGGTTGCTATATGCACTTAGTATATACATTCTTATACTGAAAAGTAGATAAGCTCTGTACAAGTACAGAAAGCCAACTTATAGACATTGTAAAGATGTAAATCACAAATCTGATTATGATTAGAATAATTTGGTTAAAGGGATCTCTAGGAAATTAACATTTCCAGAAGTGAAAGAGTTGAGTAATTAAGAATGGAGCCACTTTTAATCAGAGCTCCAAGGAGAGCACTTCCTGTTTTGCAATAGTTCCGGATTCAAGTTTCAGGTGGTATTTCCTTCCATAATGTTCTGATGGCGGTGAAGGGGGAAATTGGTCACAGTTAGCTCTATCTAACATCCCAAGCAGCTATCCTGACATTTCACATGCATGATGCCAGCTGAGCATGAGGGCAACTTTGAGATACCTCCGAAATCAGGACATAAGTATACCCTTTGAGAAGTAGCTGGCAAAGCAACAATGAAAACCAGAGCATAAAGAAAAAAATCACTTTATAGAGACAGAATAGTTCTTAGGCCCAGTGAACACAGGACTCGAGACGAGAGTTGGTCAGCCTGGAAGAATAGGAAAAGGAAGTATTTTCAATCAAATTCTGGCTGGGAGAAAAGAGTTGGTGATTTAAGCCACGTGGACAAAGCAAAGCTCTGGTTATCCTCAGAGGAGCCTCCAGCTATTCTTAGTCAAGGACATTTTCACAATGAATTCTTGATTCCTTGCCAAGAAACCTACTTTATTACTGGGCTTCCCATATAGGTTCTGCCTACAGGGATGTAACCTACCTGGCTGACAGAAGTCTTCCAGGAATGCTTCACCAATTTAGTTTTTCACAACAAAGAAATGATTGGCTCCTGAGAGATGACTGTATACTGAGGGACTGAGATTTCTGAGCCTGTGAAGCTGCAGACCAATCCCCAGGATCATGGTGATGGTGGCAGGAAGGCTTCGAATGCAAATTTCACCAACTTCATGCTTGTACTTCAGCACAAGTTCTACATATCCCTGAATGAGTCACACTGACCCAAGAATCCTTAATAATTTTTGTTTGGAGCTGCATTTGCCCTCTGAGGACACCATGGGAAAATGTACTGACATAAAACCATAAATTAGGACTGAGGGTGTTATCTCAGGAGTAGAGCAGCACTTGCTGGTCTAGTAAGTGTGAGGCTCTGAGTTTGATCTCCAGGACCACAAAAGTTTTTATGACCATAAATTAGAATTGGCATGGAAAACCAGTTGGAAAGCTGAGGAATTTTATCACACAAAGATTTTTATTATAATGGAATTTTTAAATTAAAAAATTCTTTACTAGCTAAAGCTGAATCTTACCTCTTAGGCATATTATTCATATGCCTAAAAATAACTTAAAAAGAGACTAAGATAAAAGATTAAAAATAATAATTAAAAACATCTTTCTAAATTTTAGGTAAATAATATTAAATTGATATGAATAAAGAAAGAACTCTGGTTATATCAATGATTGCCAAGTCAAGCATACCTCTGTCAGACAAGGAACTAAATTCCTCCCAGGAGATCTTGATGAGTTGTATGTGATTGCTCCCATATGACTTTTGGCTTTGGTGAATCATGCCACTGGTAGCTGCTGTAATGATATTATTCTCCACCCCTTAGGGAATCTGCCTCCTATGAAATTTTATCAAAACCAAGGCCACAGTCCTGAACTTATCCCTCCCTCTGGGGACCAATGTTCACTTGGCTCATCACACCTTTCCTAACTCCAGAATTCCTTTCTCAGAAAGAGGGGAAATCAGCTTCAGCTTCTGCCTCTCTGTATGCCTGGGGTGAAAGGCATTGTGATTAATCCATCCAGTGGGACTTCCCTATCTCTTAGTGATGAAAGTTACCTAAAATCTGATGCCAGATCCTTCTTCCACTTGCCAGATTGGGGAACTAACAGACATTGATGAAGCAATGGTGGAGGGCAGCAATTGAAGTTAATCTTAACCTTTTAAAAAGTCATCTGTAAATTCCTGTCTCTCATTTTGATGAGCCTCTCATATGAAGACTGAAAATAATGTCCAGAGTTTATCTCATTTAGCAACTTGGGACCATTAGTACTTGTTTGCATAAGCCCCCTAACCTGTACAAACCATCACAATGCCACAGCTCAATATGCTTTAGGGGTATATAAAGCCCCGTTTTTGCCTATGACGTTAATGCTGCATCCAAAGTACAGAAAGAGGAGAGGAAAAATCACTCCTGCCAGTAGTTTTCAACCTCAAGATGGTATACTCTGGTAGTTCCAGACAGGAAATCTCTCATCACCAATTGGAAGGAATAATCTGCATTTATCACTACTGTGGGATTGACAGCCATCAACCCTATCAAATGCACAGGACTTAGGCAGAGATCACACTATGGTTTCCATCTGGTCTCAGGGGAAAAATGGAGGGAACAAGATTAAACAATAATATTAGACTGAACCATATAATACTGACAACTTTTAACCATTTGGTCCTATAATATCGGCAATTTCATATGTTTCAACCTAGCAGTACTACTAATAACAGCAGCTAACAATTACTTGAGCGCAACTATGTCAGGTTCATTACAAACCTCTTCTTTAATGCATGTGCCATCCATATGAAGTAGGTACTATCATGGCCCTCCACACTGTCCCACATTTTGAAAGCAAGAAAATGGAGGCTGAGACTTGCCCAAGGTCAGACAGCTTAAAAGGGGAAAAGACAAATTTTCAAACCCTATTGCACTGCCTCCTCACTGCAATTAAGTCTAAGTTTAGGTCTAAATTTCTGTAAGTATACTGAAGAATTAGCACCTTTCTGGGCTAGAATATCAGCATGCCTGCACACCTGGCATCCCTGACAGGCTAATGAAAAGAGACCTGAAAGGTGACCTCTGCTCAGGCTTTCAATTAAGTACTTAGGTAACTAGTGGATTTATGCCCAAAGGTACTTAAGTCTCCTTAGTTTTCCTGAAATTTTCAAGGCTGATCTGCCAGAAATTAGCACTAAGACTCCAAAGAACCTAAGGCCCTTCCCTAGGAACAAGAGGAAGCCAACAGTACCTAAAGGGGAACTTGAGTTTCAGGCTTCTAGTCTATTAAAGGACCTATTTTGAAATGCAAATGCTTCCAAAAAAGCCTGAATTTGTTATCAATTAACACCTAAGGCATAATTAACACCTCAGCAGGGAAGGCAGGCGAGAGGGAAGCAGATTAGCAAATTTCCCTCTGAGGAGGAGTCTGCTCCAGTCTCACTATTAAACTTGCATATACATTATTTTTTGTGTGCCAGCAAGCCAGGGAAGTGAGGGGGGCTCATTCTACATAAAAGGACACTAAGGATCGAAGAGGTTAAGTCATTTACCTCAGCCAATGAGCCAACTAAGAGTGATATACCAACTAATCAACTAGAACTCAGTTCACCTGAGTTCTTCTTGCCACCAAAGCTGTTGGTGATTTTCTAATTCACTATTCTAAACTCCTGTCACTAATAATAGCTTCACATTCTGCCTCCCCAAAGTCCTGAACAAATTCTATCCCAAACACTGCTACCCCTACATATATATGGAAATTAGGTACAAAACAGTTGAATGACATTATCATAAATTATCTAATTCTGTCAAAAGATATTTATTTACATTAGCCGACTACATTTGACTGGAAAGGTTTAAAGTTTCATTTTTTTCTCAGACATCAGGAAACCTGCTCAAACCCACGTGCCACCAACATCTTTTTTTTTTCACTTTCTATATGGCCATTTACTTTTAGACCACATAGTTCTTGCACTCTGTCCATATTTGTGATTGGCAAGATGGTAAATGTGCAAATTGAGAGTATTATATAGATACAGGTGATATAGCTATAAGCAGGAACACAGGAACAAATTTTAATAACATGATTATTACTGGGTGTCTAACAGATAAAAGATATCCAGTATTTCCTATCAAAGCAATCTCAAATACACTTAATTATCAAATACTTGGCAAATATTTTTAAATGTTCAGCTCTGTTAATAGGTGTTTCTACAATTTTCCCCGAATGAAATTTGGACATAATCCAAAATAAAATTTCTACTTTGATGTAAGATTTAGAATTTGGCTCATTTTTGGCTCCAATTCATAGTGTTTAATTTACCCCCACCAATATCATATGTTCTAGAAAACTTACCTTATCCTGTTTGTCACCAAAGTGGCTAAAATACCTGAGACTACAATTTGGACTAGCTCCCTCAGGAGGACTCCATGTCCATATTACTGTGCAGAGGTTTTCCACAGAGACACTCAAATTTGTCACAGGTGGCTGAATTTCTGTTCAAATCAAGCACAAAAAATTATTATTTAATCCAGAGTAATAATAGCTGAGTTAACAATATCTAACATTTACTGAGTCAGGCACTGTTGTAAAACTCTAATCCCCCTTTGACATAGGATTAGCCTCTTTTTAAGATGCAGTGACTGAGGCACAGGGAAATTTGTTAAACACTTGCTCCATATCCCTTGGTTAGAAAATGGAACCTGGAAATGTGGCTTCAAGGTCACATTCTTTTTTTTTCCAGTACTGAGAACTGAACTCAGGACCTTGCTAAGCAAGTGCTCTACCACTTGAGCCACACCCTCAGACCCCAAGGTCATACTTTTTCTTTAAACAGGTCCTCTTCAGGTTTATTTGTAGAAACAGCATAGAACACCAGTCCCCTGCAGATGGCAGTCAGGGGGTCACATAAATCCATCTGTCCTCACAATGGCAGACAGAGGCCTTTACTATGGGCCTTCAAGGGGGCTTGGGCACCTTTGGGAGCCTGCGCCTGAGCCGGAGATTGAGCAGGAGTGGAAGCTGGAGATGCAGCCTCAGCCTTGGCTTTTGGTCAGCAAAGCCTGCGATCTCTGGTCATGTAGGTACGAATACGCTTCCCAAGCTTGGGGTGGGCAATGAAGGCAAGTTGTTCGAGCTTGTGGTTGGCACCCTTTGGGATCTTGTGTTTCTTGACCTCTTTGGGCTTTACGAGGGCCTTGATAGCCTTGGCACGTGCACTCCTGGCCTTGGCACTGTTCGCCTGCATCTTCTTCAGGCCCTTCTTGTGCTTCTTAGCGAAACACATGTTCCTTAGAAACTTAGAGTCTGCCCCTCTTAAGAGATTCATATCTTTGTGATCAGAGTACTCGATGCCATTTCTGTGCCATTTTCAGGACTGGTTGCGCATGGTATGGTTCTTGGACTTGGTCATATCTGCACCTCGCTGCCAAAACTCACCATAATCCACCAAGGTCATACTCTTAAATATAGTCCTCCCTAATTCTCCATGTGAGATTCGTTCCAGGACCCCCTGTGGATACCAAAATCTACAGATGTTCAAGACCCTTATGCAGTGTTTTTATATAACCTATGTTCATCCTTCTATTTCTTTTTCTTTTGGGGGGATTTGGATTTTAACTCAGGGTTTTGCACTCATAAAGCAGGCGCTTTACTGCCTAGCTCCATCTGCAGTCCATTTTACTCTGGTTATTTTGGAGATGGAATCTCACAAACTATTTAGACTGACCTCGAACCTAGATTCTCAGTCCTCCCAGTCTTAGCCTCCCAAGTAGCTAGGATTACAGTCATGAACCACAGGCACTCGTCTCCTCCTATATACTTTATTTTTTTGTTATCATTTTATTGTTGTACTGGGGATACATTGTGACATTTGTAAGAGTTCTTACAATATGTCATAGTTGAATTCACCCCCTCCATCATTCTTCTTTATCTCTTCCTTCTCCCATTCCTTCTATATACTTTAAATCATTTCTAGATAATTTGTAATACCTAACACAATGTAAATGCTATGCAGATCATTGTTATATTGTCTTATTTGGGGAATAATTACAAGAACAAAAGAGCCAGTATGTACATCATTTTTTAGAGTATTTTTAAACATTTTTGTTAGCATATATTAGTGCAGAGGGATTCATTGTGACATTTCCATATACGCTTACAATGTTAGGTTTCATCCCCACCATCATTCTCCCTCATCCTCCTCTCTACTACTTAAAATGATTGACAGGTTTCATTGTTCTATCTTCATACACGTATGTAAAGAACATCAACCATATAGGTCCTTCTTTACCCTCTCCGTTCAACCTCCCTCTCCTACTAGTACCTTCCCTCTGACAGGATCTATTTTATATTCCTGTCCTTTTTTAGAATATTTTTGATCTGCAGTCAGCTGACCCACAGGCCAAATGTACTTGCTATACAATGAACACAAAGAAAGAGTAGACTTTTAAATACTAGTATTTCCAAGTTGTTCTTCAGGAATTTGGGGTTCCTGATACTTTGGATCCACATCTTGATACAGATAGTTAAATCTTAGCAGTACTTTGAATTTAAGAATCTTGTCTTCAATTGTGCTTGCTAACACAATCTGGTAATTGTTTCTATTACACACACATACACACACACACACACACACACACACACACACACACACACACACACACACACACACACACACACATATATAGCTTTTCCAAAGAAGTACTGAGAAAGTGATTTAGCATCCCTTGTTGTTCCCCTGAGGTCTGAAACTAAGCAGCTGGAGCTGGCGCTTTGACTAATCTGAAGAAGGAAGGGAAAAGGGAAAAAGGAGAAACATGAAACACCATTTCAAACTCTCCTGAGAACTTCTAAGACCAGTACTATCACAGTTATTCCCCCAAAACTGAATGGGAGTACACAGGAACTCTCTGTCCTCTTTGCAACTTTTCTGGAAATCAAAAATATTCCAAAATAAAGTTGATTTAAGTCATTAAAAAAATCAAACCAGGAGTTAGGTAGACATGCCTGCAATCCCAGTACTCCCAAGGCAGAGAGGATCAAGAAAGAGTTCAAGGCCAGCCAGGCCTACATGCAGGAAAGAACGCATCTCAAAAACACCCTCCTCCCCAAAAAACAAAATAATAATTCCCCCAAGAGCTGGGGATATATCTCAGTAATAGAGTACTTGCCTAGCATGAACCAGGACTTGAGTTCTAACTCTAGCACCACCGAAAAAGTAAAAATTATTAATAAAAATAATTATTGAAGGACTATAGTTACAGTACTTTATCAAATGACATAGTTAAGTTGTATACGCTAAGCAAACACTTTGGAATACACTGGGCATTTTAAATAATCAGCAATACTTATACTGTTACCTTTTATTCTAGGCAAAAAATTCCATCTGTCCCACATCATCAACCCCATAGGTACAACATAGTTGAAGTTTCTATAACAGTCAATTTCATATATAACAACAGTCTATAAAGTCCCTTGACCATCGCTCGATATTCATTCCCTCTCTCCTAACTCTACTATTTCTAATCATTTATCCTTTTTATTAGTGTATATTAATTGTAAAACATAATGGGTTTCATTGCTACATTTTCATACATACATATCAATGTACTTTGATCATACCTAACTCTACTATTGATAGCTTTCCCCAAAGCCCAATTGTGGGAAGGAACAGCTGGGAGCGGAACAAGGCCTTTGGAGAAGTAAGGAATTCCTATCACACTCTAGGGAAATTTCAATCAATTTTTGGTCAGTTTTGGCTTTTAACACAGTAGTGGCTACCCATTAGCCATCTCAAACCACAAGGCAGGCAGATGTGCATAGTTCCTGGAGCAACTTTCACACAGCTTGCTAGAGCCAGGGTAGGCAAAAAGGACCCTGTCCTCCACATACTAGAAATCTGCATTCTGATCACAGAGGTAGAGTCAAAAAGGTCAGGGCTATTGTTGTTATGAACCCATCTCTTCCAGCTAAAGTGACTTCCAGAAGATTTAGAGGACTGGCACCCTTCCTCTCCATCACATTTCTCCTTTTGGGAGCCAGAAATAAAGACCAGGACATTAACGTGAAGACCACTAGAAAGTAACCTTGCCTGCACAGAGAAAACTCCCAAAGGACCTAACAAGACCTTAAGTTTTTATCTCAGGCTGTTCCTCAACATAGAGACATGTGCAAAAATGAAAAATAAATATAAATAATAAAAGCCAGAAAACCCTGGAGAAGGGAAGCAACTGCTCTCCAGAATTACTACATTATTTGATTCGAATGGCCAGTTTTGAACAAAAAAATCAAAAGCATGAAAATAAAAAGGCACATATGGGTCATTCAAGACAATGGTCCCTGTAAAAAGGCAGACATGTTAGACAAAGAGTTTAAAACAAATGCCTTAAAGATGTTCAAAAACTAAAGAAAGATGTGGATAAAGTAAGATTTTCAAAAGTCAACACATAAAAAATGGAAATAGCAATAAAAAGAAAGAAAACCTAAAACAAAACCAAAAAGAAATTCTGGACATGCAAAATACAAAAACTGAAATGAAGAATTCATGAGAGGGATTCAAAGGCAGATCTGGTCAGGCAGAAGAAATAATCAACAAACTTGAAGAGAGCATAAGGGAAACAATCAAGTCTGAGAATAGAAAGAAAACAGATTGAAGAAAAGTGAGCAGACCCTCAGGAACTTGTGGGATATCATCAGTGGACCAAAATATACACTGTGGGGGGGGGGTTCCAGGAAAGGGGCCAAAAGAATATTTTAAGAAATGATGAGAATAATGAGAACTGGAGGTGTGACTCAGCAATAGAGTGCTTACTTTGTAAGTGTGGAGGCTTAAGTTCAAATATTCCAGTCCCACCAAAAGAAAAGAGGGGAGGGGAGGAAGGGAAGGGAGGGGAGGGGATGGAAAGGAGAGGACAGCAGAGGAGAGGAAAAAGGAGGGGAGAGGAAAAAGGGAAGGAAAAGGAAGGGAAAGGAAGGAAATGAAAAATAAAAAGAGGCTGAAACCTTCCCAAATTTGAAAAACATGAATATAAACATCTAAAACTTAAGGGACATGATAAAAGAAGTGCTAGTGGGGGAATTTATAGCTATAAAAACTTATATTTAAAAGTAACAAAGGTGGTGGTAGGGAGGTGGCCCAAACAATGTATACACATGTGAGTAAATGTAAAAATGATAAAATAAATAAAAGTAATGAGGGCTAGGGGTATGACTTAAGTGGTAGAGTACCTGTCTAGCGAGCACAAGCACCTTAGTTCAAACACCAGTACTGCTCCCCCCCAACAAGAGACTGATGTGGTAATACCTGCATACAATCTGGCATTGGGGGGTGGGGGGGAGAAGAGGCAGGAAGATCTCAAGTTCCAGGCCAGCCTGGGCTATACAGCGAGACCATGTCTCAAAAAAAAAAAAAAAATCTCAAGCCAGGTCATGCTTGTAATCCTAGCCACTCAGGAGGCAGAGATCAGGAGGATCACTGTTTGAAGCCAACCCAGGC